CTCCCCTCGCGCGTCGCGCGCCCGCAGCCAGTCCGCGTTCGCTCCAGCCCAGGCAGTGGGGGCTGCGTTGCCCCTGCTTGCGAGGGGGAGCCTGGGGCCCAGAGCTGGGCTGTCAGCCCCGTGCTCTGCCTGTGGGGGTGCTGGGTGCCCCCACCAGCTCCCCAGCAAGGCAGGAGCAGCTTGTGGGCCAGCCATGCTGGCACCTGGGAGTCAGGACAGCTGGGCTCTAGCCCCACTTCTGCCACTGCCCCATGACCCTGGGCAAGTCACTTTGCTCTCCATGCGTCTGAGCCACCAACTGCCGAGACACAAAGCAGATGCGGGGGGGGAAGGGGTGCCAGGCCCCAAGGCTGGGGGCGGGGCTCGGGTATCAGCAAAGCAAGCTGGCTTCCTGCATGCTGGGCAGCCGTCTCAGCGACCTGCCCCAGCCTAGCAGCCTCCACGGTTGAACGACCTGGGGGTTTGGGCTGGTGGCGGCACCCCTATGTACCGGGTATAACTGCCCCAGGGCAGCGGGTCTGCTGCCCTCTGCTGGGTGGAATCAGAACTGTCATAGACCTTATACTGCTAGTAGTGAACAGAGATTCTCCGTGGCCAGAGGATTTGAATGTTCTCCCTGCTGCTGCCCTGAAGCAGCCTCCACGGTTGAACGACCTGGGGGTTTGGGCTGGTGGCGGCACCCCTATGTACCGGGTATAACTGCCCCAGGGCAGCGGGTCTGCTGCCCTCTGCTGGGTGGAATCAGAACTGTCATAGACCTTATACTGCTAGTAGTGAACAGAGATTCTCCGTGGCCAGAGGATTTGAATGTTCTCCCTGCTGCTGCCCTGATGTTCCCGGCTTCCACTCCCTGCACAGAACTGACCAGTAAGCTCCTGGGGAGGGAACCAATTTTTATTCTACTTGCGGCTGGCAAAGCGCGGTGGAGCCCACCTAGGATGGGACTGCGGGCACTCCCAGGACACGCGTGGCTCGTTTCTCTCTGCAAGGTGTGTGGGGAGGAGGTGGCCTCTCGGCTCTGACGCTGGCCTGCTGGGTGACTTGGGTTAGTCACGTCACCACCCCGTGCCTCAGTTTCCCCATCAGTGATGATACTGACCTCCTCTGTAAAGCACCTGGAGATCTAACCTTGGAGCTAGCGGGTATTAGCCAGCAGGGTTCTCGCACCAGCTGTCCCTGCCAGACTGGTAAGTCCTGTGTGACTTGTATTTATGGCTAATTCTTCACCTACCATCTCAATTGCAAAACAGGGCGTTGTGACAGGCAGCCTGGCAGTTACCAGCTAAATTCGGGATCATTTGGCTCCTGCCCCCCACCCCCAGAGGAGAAGGGGGAGGCCTGGGGCTCTGATGGATCAGGGTGCGGCTCCCACAAGCCCCGCGGGGGGAGGCTGAATGTGGGGCAGCGGGTTGGCTGTGCGGGGGTGGGTTACAGGCAGGGCTGGGCTCAGCCACTCGGATTCTGTTCCTGCTGCTGCACCTGGCGGGAGCCTTGCCAAATCCCTCGGTTCCCCCTGGCGAGGGAGAGACTGATCTGTCCCCCAGGCCGCGTGGGCGCCCCTGCTCCGTCACAGGTGTCCTGGGTGGCCGTGGGCGGGTCCCTGTACAGGGGACAGGGAAGGGCAAAGCAGCTTGCTCTGCCGCTCGGGCCCCCGCAGGCAGGCCCTGTCTCCGCCCCCCTGCCGCCTGCAAGCTCGATACCCTGGCGGTGGCCGCATCTGCCCTCCATGGATTCGGAAGCCTCTCGATTCGAATGAGCCATCCCACCTCTGCACCGCGGCTTGGGCGGGTGGGGCCTCTCGACACGTTATTTCCGTGGTTGCTATTTTAAGAGCCCATTTCACAGAGGGGGCCTCACCTGTCTGCCCGCTGCCACCGCTCACCCCAGCCAGGGCGGGGGACGGGATTCCCATGTGATCTGCCCTCCATGGATTCGGAAGCCTCTCGATTCGAATGAGCCATCCCACCTCTGCACCGCGGCTTGGGCGGGTGGGGCCTCTCGACACGTTATTTCCGTGGTTGCTATTTTAAGAGCCCATTTCACAGAGGGGGCCTCACCTGTCTGCCCGCTGCCACCGCTCACCCCAGCCAGGGCGGGGGACGGGATTCCCATGTGGGAACTGGATCCTCGGGACCCCCAAGCCCCAGCTGCTTAATGGGGTGACCGAAGCAGAACGAGTTGCTAGGGGCCAGCGGAGCAGCCCCCTGCACCTGCCCAGAGACGTCAGCTCCACAGGGGCCCGGGGGCCGGCCTGAGTGGGCCCAGACATGCAAGGGGGCGGGCGAGCCCGGGGTGCAGTTTCTTAGGAGCAAGCATCCTCCTTGGGTGCTCCAGAGAAACAAGCTGGTACAG